ATAATAAAAATTAAACAAAAATTATTTTTATTGCTTTTCTGTCTCTGACTGCAGAGTAAAGTTTATCAATGAAGCGTTTTTAATACACAAATAGAGCGTTCAATTTTCAGTAATTCACTTTATTGTTTACATATAAAACGTCAATTGTAATTTTATTTCTATTATTGGAACAGCACTTAGCCAGCAGTCAATAATTCAAAGAGTTTTGTAATCTGTAATTTTTTATTAAGGAATTTATTGAATTCATATTATTTAAAAATAGAAATTAAAATAGAAATTAAAATAGAAATTAAAATAGAAATTAAAATAGAAATTAAAATAGAAACAGAAATAGAATAGAATGTTATGAATCACTTTTAAAAGAAAAACTTTATTATAAAATTACTATAAATATTTTTGCTTATGATATTAGTTAGTTAGTTAGTTGTGGTGTAGGGAGTACAGAACCTCCCCAATTAGCTAAAAGAGAAAGCTGTTTTGAATCCACAAAAAACTTCGTAATAGTGGGTAGTGGGTAGTAGAGGGTCCACTTAGAACCAGCCAGAGGCATTAGATATCGCTAAGTGAGTTGAAGAAGGTGGCCCCCAGAAGCTTAAACCTGGTTCTGGCGAGACCTGGACAAAAACACATCAGATGTTCTGGTGTCATATCTTTAAGAGCTGGTAGACACGTACTGCAAGAGGTATCACAGGGAAGGCCGAGTCTAGCTCCATGTCTTCCTATGGACCAGTGTCCCGTAAACACAGATATTATTTGATATTATTAAATTTGAAATTATTAATAAACAAAATATAAATTTATAATATCCGACACATTTTGACAAAATGAAAATCTACTAACAGTTAATAAGTAGATTTAAGTTGAAATAAGAGTCTACTGCAACATAAAAACCTTGGGGCGCTCAAAGAGGAAGAATGCCCAAAATTATACGGGGAAGAACTAAACGAATACGGCAGCAACTCAGAAAATTCTATGGTGACCGATACAGCTAGAAGGGCATTGTTTCTGCTCTATGTTGTGAATAAAAGCAAATAATATTAAAATTTCTAGTAATTACTTTGTCAAGAAAATTATAATATTTAATAATATACAAAATATATCGATTATTTTTAGGATGTCATACAAAATCTATTATAGTACCTCAATTGGATGCCTAGCTATTTCAACAAATTTAAGAAATAAGTCTCGTACAGAATTACTCTTTTCGAAATGGCCTTTTGTAATTAGGATTGGTATTGGCATAATAAAAAGAAAGTAACAACATAAATACTACTAAATATCGAGATATTTGAAATCATTTCTACACTTTGTTATACCTATCTAACTATCTATCTAAAGGTCTCATAAACTGATCAGAATCCTGAAGATAGCAAGTACCAAACTTGCGTAATCTGGGTTATGTTATAACGTTTTTGACTGGTAAATTCAGGGCAAAATATATAATACTTAATATTAAGTTAGAACACTCTAGATATTTAGCCAGAGTAGCAAGATCACACAGAAATTAACAGGTATTTATATGTTTTGAGAGATAAACTGTGATTTAATTCGATACATATATATTTGTGAAAAAATAAATATCTACCAACACAACTACAAAAATGTTAGATTACTCTAAAAATGTTTGATTGGATAACAAAATTTGATAGATCTAGAAAACGCTATTAGACAATAATAAAGATTTGAAGCAGTTTTTATTATTCATTTTAAATATTTGTGATATTTGTTAAGTTCATTAACTCAAAAATTAATTTTATGCTATATAACTAACTATTTGTTCTCACATCTAAATGAAAGATTTGCACACATATATGATGTATCTTTCAGTGTGTACTTTATTACACTACTTACATATCAACAGTACACATAATAATATACATAAATTTGCAATTTTAATTAAATAATTTCACAATGTAGTATTTTATTCTTGACTGTGTGTGTGACTTCACACATGCGTAAATTAGGCTTTTTTATTAAGCCTTACTTTAAACGTGCAGAAATTTAAACAATTACCAAAGAATATTATTTTTTCGTATCTTTTTTAGTGTCGTTTCCTTAATTAAGGGATTTAAATTAATGTTCTTGAACTCATGTTTATAAAATCCTCACGCAAGGCAAAGGAAACAAAACAGAATTATAACACACAGAATAAATTTCATGAAAAAATCCAATCTGAAATTGTGCGTCAAACGCATGTGTATTGCAGACAAATGGAACCGTTCCATTCAAAACATGTCTATCATGTCTTCTTAACCACAGTAAGGTGAAAGGGGATTTGCAAAAGGCATAATAGGGCGTTACACAAGCGCAAAACCTAATTTTATATAGTCTCTAAAGTGGCCTTTAGACATCAACGCGCGTTGACAAACACACGAAGTCTTCTCTCTCCATTACACATTAAATTTACCAACAATTTTTTAAACACGCCTCCAGCAAACAATGCAAAATTTGTTCACTCATCAGTATTAAAGCAATCGCTGAAGTGTCGACAGCGGCTGCTATGCGTAATTTCCTTACGAAAAATGATGACATTTAATTTATAATTTTAATTTATATATTTATATTTATTTTTATGATTTCAATTTATATATTTATTTTTATATATATTATATTTTATATAATTTAATTTTTTTTTTTGGTATTTTTTAATAACAAATTTTCCGTAGGTGCACAATGCAATTAATATTTAAAACAAAATTTTTATTGTAATTTAATGTTTGGTTATTTTTTTTTGCCCAAGGTTATTAAAATATTTTAATTCTTCTTAATAAAATGTTTTGGAAATTAAAAAATTTTACCTAGGTAGAAAATACAAATATTTAAAATAAAATTCATTCATATTTGCAAAGCATCGCATGTTAACGACATATCATGCGTGCATTTAAACGATGTTTACGCTTCCATTTCTCAAAATAAATAAAATTGTGCAAGCCGACCAAATCCGACTGTATATGCAAAAACACGAGCATGTTTGAAGAAATATCAAAATTTTTTGATTTTCGTCAACACATTTCTTAAAATTTTAAATGTTACTATTACACAAACAAATTTCGCATTTCACAAAGTAGGAGAAAAGTAGGAGAAAAAAATTCTCATGTGAGAGCGATTTTTTAGTATATTTGTTGTTTTATCTGAGGCGTGTTTAAAAAATTTTTAAAAAATTGTTTGTGTAATGGCAAGCGCGCGTTGACAACGAAAGTTGCTGTCTAATGGGCCCTTAAGATTAAAGGTTTTTATCGTCTGTTTTTGTCAGTTGAGCGAAGTTGAGTGAATTCTATTTTGAACTCCTCCAATCCCTGTAGTTGAAGAATGTGTTCAGTTCAACTGATGGCGAACTATATGAAGCAGCAATAGCAAATAAAGAGATACTCCATTCACATTATAGTATGTATTCTCATATTATTTTCTGCATTTTTCTGTATCTTGCACTTGTACTTGGTTGGAAATGCACGTAATTCGTCACGTTTTAAAGTTTGTATTCATTATACACTCAAAATTATTCACAAACATTTGCAATTTTGTATTTACAAAATACAAATGTGAAAATTTTGCTGACAGCAGCTGTTGTTATTGATGTTGCGCTATTATTGCACTTTTCGAGGCAATGTGAGTTTCGCATTATGAGAACTTTATCCCAGCAGTCAGTAGCAACCGCCAATAAAACCTGCTTTATAAGAACAAGAAATAAAATGTTCACAGTACTTGAAAAAAAAAAGTAATCGAAGTTAATTATTTTAAATATTTTTTTGCAAAATAATATAAAACACAAATTATTAATGCTCTAGGTTCCCAGTACAGCTAAGCACTACAACCACACTAGTTCTTGTATTAATATTCGACCCTTACCAAAGACAAGTCATTCAACCTTATGAATGAATTCCAAAATATATGCTATCCCAACAAAATTTTCTTCAAGATAAATACCGGACCGTTATAAAGAATATGATTAGACATCTCGTCACGATATTCTACAACCTTAGACAGCCTTATCTTATTGGTATCTTAAATTACTACATTTGTAAGTATATATCAATAAGTATATTCAATACGTGAAATAAAGAATTTATTATAATTATCCTAGAATTGTAATCAGATAAATCATTAATAATTATACATAATTGTTTCAATTATTATATGTAATGAATATGTTACTTTAAACAATCGCATTTTTCAAGTGAACTTTTAAGAAACATGATATTTAGAAGATAAAACTGCTAACTACCTTATTATGCGTAAAAATTTCCTTATAAACTTTGAGATCTTGCATTCTAAAAAAGAATATTTACAAAATACATAATAGTACTTCAGTAACGCTTTGTATTTCTACTTTTCACCGAGTCTAGATCTCAAAATCTCTCACCGTCTAGGAATAAGTGCCTTGTCCCAAGAATGACAAATCAAATAGGTATGCTTAGAAAAGTGTTTTTGTGACTCGATTTTTTAGACAAAACACGAAATAAATGTTCTAGATGCTCAACTTTAATTACTATAAATTTAGTTTGTTTGAATGCAAACTGAAGTCCAGAAAGTTAATTAGAAGTTAAAATAGTATATCGCGGGGTTTATGATCTATTGATATCTGCGTTTGAAAAGTCTCCTAAGGTAACCCTTAAACATTACCGTATCTCTTATTTCAAAATCTCAAATCTGATTCAATTCAATGAAACCAGATTAAAATAATGAATTAGGGTATTGATAGGCGCAGACCAAGTGGTATTCAGGGAGATAGCTAGCAATTTTTTGAAAGTCAGTGAACACTATTTGAACAATATTTTGCAAAAATTGAAAATAAAATAAAATATA